TATATATACGTAGCTGAACAATGAGTCAATAACTAGAATTTGACCAATTCTAAATTCGACAGTAAGCATTGTTCGCTGTTTGGTCAAATAATTTGTTAATAGTCTATATACCTATAATAAAAGAAAGTTTTTACCTCTGAATCATACTGTTTTTTTGTCATACTGTTGACGACAGCCAATAGCCGCTCAGCATCCCCTTCGTCTCGGTTGAGTTATGCAACATACAACAATATGTTACCGGACGGACGTATTCGACGCTCAGGTATTCCTACGCCGAGCACTGGAAGATCTCGAGAACCTTCACCAACCAGGTACTCAGGGCATCACTTTTACGGCTCATGCTTTTCCGTCGTCAAAAGAAATTTCATATTTGACGACAGAAAGAAGGCCTTGACTGACTTTGGATTTTGGACTCATGAAAATTTTAAATGTAACTGAATATCATAACCCTACAGAGGTAAATAGTTTTATAAAACAGTTAAGCTGGATAATTTTGCTTCGAAAGGTCGGTATCGAGTCTAGTTTCAACAGCTACCGTAGGCCGCGAGCGACGCTCTTCTTTGGGTCGACCCTCATTGCGATTTGACTCACTCGACAGGCAACTTCGCAATGGACGTGATGGGGAAGAAAGAATTCGCACAGCTTTCGCGGTAGGATTGTCACTTTTATTTGTCGTCTATTGAAGACTTCAATCTCTCTAGAAGCTACAATTGAATTATCTTAAACGTGAGATTATCTCCATGTAGCATCATGTATTAAATCCTATGCTAAAATTATCACACGTATCTTCTACTTTCGCTAAGGCGCCACCATATGCTTCACCATTGACGTCTCGTGCTGTTTTCGGCTCGAGTTCTCAATGCCAGACTTCATCATTGGCTGTGTCCGGCAATGTCAGTAGTCACCATGGGGGAGGGAGTGGCAATGGCGGTAGCGAGGGCTCTTCGTCAATATGTTCCGACGTATCCCGCAGTCAAGAAGACTATGTTGCCGATCTACTGCTTAGTCTTGCTAGTATCCATTGGTCCGACCGAAAGGAAGGCTTGCTTGTAAGTATTTGCATGATTTCGTCTGAGGCATTTGTTAAGTATCCATTCGCTATCGCTCCTTTTCAATTTTCAGACCCGCTGACAATCACTAAACTTGATTAAGCAGATAAAAGTTGAGTCAACCAGTAAAACTTTGGTTTTATGCAATGTCTTTTGTGTTACGATGGCAGGGATTACAAAGCGTTCTGCGTTCTCATTCGCGCCGTCTCACGGAAGCGGAACTGCGATCGGTCACCCAGACGATGACTAAGATGTTTATGGACCCACACACAAAGGTAGTAATAATTACAGAAGGAGCAACATTACAACATCGAAAATCATGCTGGTTGCTGGGGGAAGGTCGATTTTGCTCTTGATGGTTACTTTTTTTAAGGGCAATTTTGGTATACTTAGCGCATGTATTCTCAAGCTCAGCTTGTCTGAGGTTGAGGCGTGCCTGATTCAAGTTATCGCTTTTTGATGTGTTCTGTAACTGATCAGAGTAATCTTGCATCAGATAAAAGACGCTATAATGGGCGGCAGCACGTGTTGCACGATCGCTCGTAATGACGCTTTGACATATGCTTTCAGGTGTTTTCACTATTCCTAGATACTCTCTATGATCTGGTAGCGGCACAAGCCTGCGAGTTGCAGCGAAACGTGCCTTCGTTTTTGGCCGCACTTCTAACGAAGCTTTTTACAAAACTTGGCCATGATCTACTAAGTTCTGTGAATTCAAAGATTCACGCAACGCTCGCACTAGTACGGGATTCCTTTCCCCGCGGCGAGCAGTTCGTCATTATTACGAGATTCCTTAATGATCCCGTGCACCAGTCCACCTCGGTAAAGGTATGCATTCAACTCGTACATATTTCAATGACTTTCCGGCAAGGTACCACTGCTTACTGACTCCTATCAAGCGCAGATCTATGCCCATGTTGATAAACAGTATTACAGTCTTATTAAGGATACCAATCAATTTTCAAATACGCTTAATGCCGGTTTTCTGCCTGAGTCCGAAGGCAGCGTCTTCGTGCGCCTGAAAAATAATGTCTGTCTGATGCTTAGGTGAAAACTACTGTTTTGCGCTATCTGCTGAACTTGACGCGCCAAATGGATTCATCGGAGATACCAGCGAATGATCCGAACATGCGAGCCTGCTTGCACAGATTTGTGGCCTGGGCATCGGCAGATCTCCCAGAACACCAGAATAATGGCTTAGCAACCGTCGGCGCAAAAACTGCTCAGCATCTCGATCGGTTTAGTACAAATGGCCTTATGGTTAGTACAATTCATCCCCACACGCGTGTCCTATTGAGGACACTGTTTTGGACCCACGGTGACTGCTCTAAAGCTATTCAGCCATCTTCATGTACACCGCCAACTAGTAGTATCGAAAATAAGAAAAAAGAAATACCAGTGAAGTGAAAAAACTAATGTTTGAAATAGTGTATTATATGAATAAATTCGTGCCAAGTTTTATTGAGCATCTGTCGTAAGAAACATAACAATAAGGCGGGATCTTTGGTTTTTATTTTCAGCAAGTCGATGGGGTTCGTGTAGGGACCATGGCAAGTGCTCGAGTCGCTCCAGAACTGTCCTCCCTATCACGAGCGTGCATTGGATCACTTTATCGGTGTAAAGCTTCCTATTTCTCTTTAGTGATACATCAGGTATGCTGCTTTTTAATCCGTGAAAGGTTAAGTGCTATTTAGATAGGTAAGCAGTATAAGTATGATACAAAAATTGTGTGGATTCGATTTCGTATAATAAAGTTGCCTGACTGACTGATTTTTCTGGTTCCCATCCAATTTCAACAGATGGCTCCCGACTACCAGAGGGTTGCTTTGGATATCATCCAGAAAGAGCTTCTTCATCAGCAGCAACAACAACAGCAATCATCATCGATTAAGGAACAAACAACATCAGTATCCATGTACAATGGTGGCAGCAGTTCGAGTGGTGTCAGGTATGGCGCATCAATCATTTAGAGCACCTTTTTATGTTCTTTGAAGGACTGCCTCACGTTTATAATCTGCTTACTTTTGTAGCCTTGACTTAGTATACTTTTACTTGTTGATTTGAGTATACCTTTAGCCCTTATGAAAATCGTTGTTAGTTCGAGCAGCTAATAAATCATCTTTACACTGAACAGCCGGTCAGGCAGCGACAGTTTAGCGTCACCGGTGACGCCCCAACGACCGTCGCCGTCTCCTTGTGCAATCGACTTTGTTATCGGAGGATCGCCTTCGGTGATAACGACCGCCTTAACGGATGAAACTGTCACCTCTAGCCACAGCGCGAGCGGAAATGGAGGAGCCAGTAGAAGCCTTATAAGCGATCCTATAACAGCTGGAAGTACATCCGACGAAGGACAGCTTAACGACTTACCCCCCTACAGCAATAATCCCCCAGTACCTCCGCCCTTGTCACAACGATCCTTTCACTCCTCAGGGTCCCAACATAACCATAACAACATTGGTCATAGTCCTAAGGTAAGTCTGATCCACGGAACGCCTGGATACAAAAGGGCTACAGCAACGTCGTCAGGAATTATTGTGCCAGATATCTGCCTCCAACGATTCATTCCTAAAATGTTTTCATGTATGAATATATTGGCGGGGTAAACCTAGTAAATTAAAGGCACGTAATAAAATAGGAATATGTTTAGAAACGCAATACATGATCTTTCTCCCTCTATACGTTTGTGCTTTTCAGGCCGGTTCGGCGGAAAGGCTGTCGCACTGTGTATCAGTGTTGAGCTCGCCCTTAAATTCGGCCGAAATGAAGCGCGCTGCCTTGGTCGAGCTCGACGAACTTCTCGACATACATGAGTTGTGGCAATCTGAACTCAACTTCAGGTTAGTCAATGGCAGAATGCAGCGCATTATAGCGAGTAGTAGAACCTTTATAGCGGATTTCTCAGAAGTATTCACAGATTTTTCATCTAAGTGACCTTTAATTGGTATGTCTAATTCTTCAGATCAACACTGAAAATTCTTTTGGACAACACCGAGTCTTCTGAGGAGTCTCCAGCCGTACGCGCTGGTGCATTACGATCTCTTTCCGCTCTTGTATCTGCGCAACCTCAACACTTCGCGCAGTATGCGGATCTCACGGTCGTTAAGCTTCTTCAAAGCCAGCTGGTTCGTATAATAATCGTTAACCTACTAAATCATATTTTCCTATTAAGGTGATGTGTAAATAGAGATTATTAGTGGACGGCAGTTTTTCCTGACTACTAGTGAACAGCAAACCCAATTCGACCCTTTTTTTGAACGTGCAAAGCGTAAGAGATAAATAAGCGGAAATAAATGGTGATTTCGACCTCATATTTTTAATGAGATATGAATAACAGATAAAAAGAGAATTAAAACATTCGGAACTATAAGGCGCATCTTTGTCGCTCGACTAAAGATAGATCTGGTAGTATAGCTACCAACGTAAAAGAAGTCATTGCGGTAATTCGAAGCACGAGGAAAAAGCTCAGTAAAATCCGAGTGATTAGCGTGGCAGGAATGTGCCAAGCTTGACAAGATTAACGTTAGTGTCAGAGAAACACACACTAAAATTGAAACAAAAAAATTGAAAGGTAATATGATTAAACTATTATCAAAAGGCTGACCGTAAGGTAGATATGGTTACTTATATATCAGTGCGTTGTTCTTGAGGAGACAACACGTGTGTCGCACCAAAAGTTACCTATTCGCAGGTGACACAAAACTACCTCATAATCGGTTGCTGCTGCCACCGTAGGGGGTTTGAACTTTCCGATTAACGTTGACGTGATTTTCAAAAATCATTTTGGACGCACTGTCCATGAAACCGACATTAACCCATCTTCAATATCTGCCTTGCGTCTATAAATGCGAACTCTCCAATTGTATTTTAAAATAATATTATTAAGTTAAATATTTTTCTGGCAAGACTATAATCCTAATATTTTAGAACTTATGTGGTTTCTGAATAAAAGATTGTGATAAGCTACTTTGACATTGCTCCCTTGAAACTGACCATTGAGGGAGTTCCAAAAATCGAAACAGATATGTTTTATAATTTAGGATTTGGGCTGTACGGCGAACGCATCAAGATCACTTATCTAAGTTCTTTCAGTTTTTGCTGCCTAGCTAAAGACGCGTGTTATCTAGCATTGTCATGGTAAAAGACAATGACTTACAGATATGTTTTATAATTTAGGATTTGGGCTGTACGGCGAACGCATCAAGATCACTTATCTAAGTTCTTTCAGTTTTTGCTGCCTAGCTAAAGACGCGTGTTATCTAGCATTGTCATGGTAAAAGACAATGACTTTTCTCGTTACCAGTTCCTATTAATCATTTTCAGTAATTTGTTTAATCTCGTTGGTTGTTGACCCTAAATGTCCGAACCAATAGTTTGGCTGGACTTCAATTACTTATAACGCATGATTCCTTTTCATTCCCACCGGATGCGGTATTACCTTCTTTGGCGTCACTCTGGGCTCTGCCACACATTGCGAAGCACATGTTTTACGTGGTCTGCTTTTTATCATCCGTTATCAACCGCTTTAGAGGTGGCCTTTCAGTTGCATTGCTAAACAGTTGCGCAGATGAAAATACGACCGAGTAAACCCTTCTACATGATTTGTATAGCACACAATGAGCTTTGATATATATATATAAATAAAGTAGACTTGCGGTGGCGATAGTGAGAAAAAGGCATATTTTTTGTAGGTAAAACGTTGCTTTTTACTTGGTTCATTCAGGATAAAGACCGTGATGTTCAGCGTGCATCAGATTTAGCTATTGCTGGAGCTTTGCGGGCAGCAGGAGTGGAGAAAGGCTCAGGTATCCTAGCACGTCTAATTGCGCGGTGGCCTGACGTTCACTTACTTGCTGCTGCGATAAAGGTAAGTCTGACCCGAAATTATTATCAGAGTATAAATATAATAACAAATAAATGATTGATTAAGAAAGTAACATTTAATAATAAAGTGCTGCCAGTTTAGCAATTAAAGTCCGTTCATTCGCTAACTAAAGACAATCCAGGGTGAGAATCTTTTCCGAAAGTACTTCTAACGAGAACCACAATCACGTGATTTATATATGCTTCTATTCAAGGCGTTATCTCGTCTTGTTGAATTGTCCAACGGTGAGGAACTCCGTCCAATGCTAGATCAGGTGGCTTCAGCACTTCTGCGCGCCTACGACCACGAAGAATCCGCTGTACGGCGAGCTGCCGTCTTTTGTCTAGTTTTCCTTCATCATAAGGTAATCGTACATCAGCGCGATCTCAGAAACTGATCTCTCTCAGCTGATCTTTATTAGCTTTCATTAGCTGCTCGTACAATATCATAATTAGCTATAAACGCATTTCCGTCCTTAAAAAAACACAATGATCGTTACAGGTTGGAGCAGATATAATGGATCCCTATCTCGAGACCCTTCAAGGATGCAAGGTGCGCAAAGGCCGACGAAGTTGAAACAAACGAATCAATCATTTCGCTTCCTTTCTGAATGGCTTAGCCTGTAATATTCGGTCAAATTTTACTTATTCGCTGGTAGCAGTCAAACACCCGATATGGTATACAGCTAAGTAACATGATTTCCCGAGATCAGAGTGGCTATATAGAACCATCAAAGCGATTCACGACAAACGAGTTTTTGCCGGCTACACTAAAGATAGTACCAAGGGGCAACAAGCGGCCTCTTATCAATTACAATTCCTTTCGTATCTAAAACACGCACGCTCCTCTATCGCCGGGCTCATATTATGGACTCAGTGCGGATTACGTTAGTAAGTTAATGAGACATTATTTGTTTCACGATTTCGCCAAATCAGTGGCATGGTAACAGAACTTCAGCCAAAAATAAGGTACAAAATATTGTAGGATAAATTATTGATGTCTATGATTGTATGTTAAAGCGATACTAAACTCTATTCACTTTTCTGTGTTTTTGCAGCTACGACTTTTGAGGCTATACATTGATCGAGCAGCCCAGCAACGGTCAACAGGCCAATCCGCCAGTTCTGGCTCTGGAGCGGTTCAGACATCGCTATGATTTGTCTTGGTCCCATCAGTTAGCAACAGATGATAAGAAGAACACATCAACCTCCGATGATCAGATCAGACATACAGTTACCCATAGTATCGTCAATCCGTAACCGTAGCACTATCGAGCTTTCGCGTCTTTTAATGCGACCTATGCTCAGCTGGTCCCTATCTACTCTGGTGAGCGAGATTCCTTTTTTTTTTTTTTTTTTTTTTTGTAAGATATCGCTGCTACTTTTTACTAATTCGCACACAATATCCATTATTTTATATCAGTTACCAGTATACGGTACAGGTATGTGTTCTTAAATACCTGTGTCGTACTGTAGCCGCCGTACTTTTCGAGATCAAATAGCTTGTTGCGTCGGACTATAATGGCTTCTGACGATCTCTTATAGATCATCCCACCGCAGGATATCAAGCCAAGCCGGAACGGATTGTATGGAGCTGCCGTATTCGCTATCCGACCGTATTAGTAGATTTTCCCTTGAGTCAAGACAGTATAACAACCTCAACAGAGGCTCACAGTTTGCCAGTAGATAAATGAATAGTGGCGATTCCCGTATAGCGATCTATGTACAGTCACAAATCGCGAATACGATAAAGACACCATATAAGCCCACTTATGATACGTCTACATATGCAATCTCAGAATTAGGAGTTTCAATTAATGTCAGAAACAAACATTCTGTTAACCGTAAAAAGTCATAAGTCAGCCAGCTTAAAACTACATTCGAAAAAGTTCTGGTGTTACCTGCAGACCGAACAGTTTCGATGCCAAAATCAAAAGGTGCGAGGAGATCCCCGCCCAATAATTGTTTGCCCTCTTATGGAGTTGACCTCGGAAACTGCCAGCGAAATGAAATTTCACAGTTTAATATCGTGTGAGGGCTACACACGATGAATCGTAACATATTTGTCGGCTAGATCTTGATAAAGGTAGGCGAATTTGAAACTGTATATTGGTTTTTATACCGAAATTTTTACTGCGACTCAGTTTGAGCAATTACTTCTTTTCTAGGTATTCTAATTCGTAATCATCTTGAGAGGTGAGTCCCTGTAAAGTAGGAAATGCATACATTTAACACGAGAGAAATACAGTATCACAGAGTTGAGTACATTTTACAACATAGCTGTAGAAAGTAGTTTTTTATTGTTCAGCTCTAATGTAGAAGGCAAAGCGACAACGTTTGTTATGGTCCTTTTACGTCAAATCTGTTCTTGCATTACGCGTCGAACATCTTTCCAAAATAATACTATAGGCTTGGACCGACTGCTGCCCACAACAGTACGATGAGCTGATTTCTATGTAACTGCTTAAAAATGCTTTTTCGATAATACCTCATTCTCGGAAGTCGAGTCTTTTGACGACTAAGCCTGAGCTGCATCCGTGTGGTTTTCCGCATGATATAATAAGCCCTATTTATGGTATAATAATAGTTATTACAATTATTATTATTATTATTATAATTTTCGTCTGTAACACTACTTTTGCAAAAAGAGTTTCACTGAAATCAAATTTTGACTAGTGTGGAGCTGCGTGATATTCTCATGCATTGTATTTACAATGCACAGTCGTTACATATTAAGTAGATGATCATTCAGGTAAATTTCAGCGCATATATGAATATACTAGCGCACTATGTATAGATTATCGGAAGCTTTCGTCGTGCCCAGCGTGCGTGGGGCATGCATCACCACCGTTCGTAGTATACATTGCTGTTAGCCCTCCTGCCGGTCTCTGTGTATGCATGACTTTTAAATGAACCAGTTATTTCTCAGGACCTTCCTTCTACTTCCACGTTTACAGACTGATGTCAAATTTGAAAATATAATGAAGTACGACTATAGATGGATATCTTTAGGTTGAATGCGTACATACAGGACAGACAAATTATTTATTTACCTTGTACCTAGACGACAGCGAGTCACTTAAAACACGAATGCCTACATTCACTGATGCCTCTATATACAAACTTACCGTATGCTACCTATCAAATATTGTATTAACACTTGTGCCGTAATTACTAGCATTGTGTATGGTCCGGCAGATGATGAACGGAACCCGCCGTTGAAGAAAAACTTTGGAGACGTTACGTCATTTATTGAATCACAAAATGAACCATTCTTGTTCGTAGGCCCGAAAGAACATTTGCGACGTCGACCAAAGAGAGACGGAGGACCTAGGTCGATCGTTAGGTATATATATACACTTAGTATGTAAATGCGTTTTTGGAAGTTTTTCTCGTTTATTATTATACTGTGACATAGTATCGGAATGCCTGCCATGTTATTGCGTGCTCATGTCGAGTGCACACACAACAGTGATTGCATACCGAAAGTATTATATATTCTTTGCATTTCATTAATTATAATTTATATAAATCTTATTAAATATATGATGATAAATGTAATGAGAATAACAAAAAGAGAACACCTATAATAAGTGTTAGAAATAGGACTAGTATTAATAGCAGTAAATGGCGATAACGAGCAACAATTAGTATTGTTGAATAGAACAGAGGTAGCGTAACTTTTTATGCAAAATATTATTAACTGTTCGTTGTTTTTTTTAATAGGTGTTACTCGATAAAGTGACACTTCGATTAGAATGTTTGTAGAAAACACTGGTTGAGCCAATAGAAATCTCATTTTTCGACTGGCGAATTTACAGCCGCGCGGGTTAACAGCGATGGACACGATATCAGTTTAGTTGATGGAGATAATTTGCTTAAGCTAGCTCAATTCCGCGAAAATTACGTGATCTACAGCTGCAAAAATTAACACAGTGAGATTAGAGATACGCTAAAACACCTACTTGAATGCAATCGAAACTGCTATAGGCAATGCGTCCTACTAACAGGTGATGGAGATCGTAATCTTAGGTGCAGGACCTGCAGGACTTTCTTGAAATATGCTACAAACTACTTCGGCCATTTTTCTTTGTACATTTATCAATTTAATGTTAGTGCTAGTTATAAACGTAACTAAAACGTTAGCAAATATTACTACCTACCGTTACAGTAAATACATAAAGCTGCAAGATCTGCGCAAGCTGTCAAAGCTTCGTTAAACCTGACAATACAATATGGCCGTTTTAATATCAAGTTATTAAATAGTATTTGTCCGGAGAGCAGGAATGCAACAAGGAAGATACAACATTTCTGCTTTGCCCCGTAAACCAGAGCGGAAATAAACTCTAGCCAGAGACGCTTAACTGAGCAGATAATGCCTGCCGCCAGCGGAGTTCATTAAAATCAAAAATACAGCACTGTATTATGTATTTCGTATCTACTGGCGAACCCTTTAGATCATTCGATCGTACTCGGAAATTCGGGTGTCAAAATTAATTTTGTACAGAAGTGTGCTTCTGCACGTGCACGCAACACATACACAATACAAGCAGTATTGAATAAGGGTGAGGCACTTCAAGCTCAGGCTTCGTGGCCATGGCGCTGGCTTGTCTCAGAAGATAACAGTTAGTCGCTGCCTGCAATTACTAAATAACCTTCTATATGTAACGGACAAACGTGTTTTGCCAGTTTAACTTCATTGGCGTATTCTGAAGGCTTATCGCATTAATACATCTCCGGCAAATTATTAGAAACTAATGAATAACGAACAACAACGCAAACAACAATATGCAATTGTGAACTAATACTAGTAGTAACGTGTCAAAAGTATTATTATGATTTTTCCCCGGGGCACATACCAATCGAGACTTTAAATAACCGTTTTATACGCTCTGATCACTAGAACGATGTTGTAAAATTGACTATGGTTGTTGCCGATTATTTCCAATGCAGTATGAAATGTCAAAATTAACTAATTTTTATCTTGCGACAGACAAAACGAAACTAGACAAAGGGTAACCTCTCTTAAATCTAGTTCACGTTTATAGAAACTGAACGATAATAACGACGGCATTGTATCATACAACAAAAAAAGAAAGAACAAGCGGTTGACGTTGACGGATATGATAAAACTTATAAATTATATTTCTGTGCCCTCAAACTTACAGAAAGACAAATAATAATAAATAAGCGATGTGCCAACAAATCCTTATGACTACTTTTGATGTCTTTCTGACAGTTATATTTACAGATAGTTGATAAGACGCTACAACATAAATCTACATTTAAATAATAGTGGAACGACGGGGTTAATAATGACAATAATAATGATGAGGAAAAATTAGCATTGTAGGTAAATTGCAGATTAAGCCAGTACTATTTGTATCAGTTTAAATAGACCATGTTTCGTTACTAATGCGTAGTATAATAGTAAACAAAGGTATGAACCTATACATGAACTAATGTGTTGCATGCTACTAAATAAAATACCGAAAAAAAAATTCTTTACTATTTAACAGATTTCTTATAGTTTTACTTTTTTTTTTCACAGGTTTCTTTGCATCGTCTCAGAATTTTCATTTTTCTGTAGTTTAGTCGCACCATCTAAATTTGCCAAATCAGTATCTGTTTATTCTGCGAAAATACGGACCGTATATTGGATTATAATGAATATTTTGTATTGCCATTTTTATATTCACTTAAATTAGCCCGTAACGATCGCAGTTAACATCTAAACGTTGCAAACTAATATTTGCGCTATATAGTATGATTTAGGGCTTTTTACACTGAGATAATGCCTATGGTTTTATGGATATTATGGCCCCAAAAAGAAATCCATATCAATGAGCCGACGAATAATTGAGTAACAACGTGTTCACTGGAATACATCTAATTATTTCAAAATGCTCGGAGTTTAAGCTTCGCCCCCGTGGTGAAAAATAAACATCACGATTAAATTAACTTTCAGGAGTGGTTTGAATACCGTTTTTGTGTTTGTTCTGTACCCACTTTAAATAATAACATCTACAGGTTGATGTTTTGTTATCGTCTATAATAAACAGCCTTTATTCAACCAGCCGGTTTCTCCAATGCTCGTATGGTCTGCCACTGGCGCGACAGTCGTTTCCGCTTTACTCATTGATACTAAGCATAACAAAGAGCACGCCTCAGAATATTGACAAATTGCGCCTAGTAAGAAAGTAGTTAATAAATAGGTTGGTCTCTATGGAAGAATAAAATAAAAGATAGGCAGGTTGCTATAGCAGAGCTGAACATCACCGCCGCCGCCGCCGCCGCCGCTCGATGATGCATAGCAGACGACATTGGCAGTATGTTGTCTGGGAACGCCGTCATTCCCAACGGCTAACGGACAGCAACAACAGCAGAAGCTACAGCTGAGGTGTGAGTTGTATGGCCCTGCTGAACTTATGGTAGGAAGCAGGAGAAGCCGTTCACATTCACGATGAGATGGTCGACCATCGTCGATAACTAAGCAAGAGTGAGTGCAGTGGTGCTTACTGTTTGACCAGAGAATCATCTGCTGCTGCTAGGACCCCTAGTTTAATCAATTCGAGTTGATATTCCTGTTATCTGTTGGGTAAGCCGGTTCTACGCAATAGAGGAGATGAATCGCGCGCTGACCGTACGCGGTACTCTGAGGGCAGATTCCATCTTAAGGTGAGTAACAAATGCTGATCTGCAATATGAAAGAGAGTGTTTTTTGAAAGCCCTGTCTTCATTGCCTCTTCCGTACCAAGACAAACACGTTAAACATTAATGTGTATTGATAACAGAAAACTGTGACAAGTCGATTAGTTATTAGAACTTTTTTCATGTGGAGCTTGGACTACAAAGCAGCACTTTTCAATTTCAAATCGATAATCTATGAATATTTGAGGCAAGCAAAATACTCGATTCTCTAAGATGAAGTCGGCTGATGCGACGTGCTGTTAGCGCAATGAAATTTCCGAAACATTTTGTATGATCTCGCCGGCAACTAGATATGACCTGCATTCTCACTAGGGCAGAGTATGGTGCATCATGCGGATAGGCCGATCCTTCTGCTGCAAAAACGCATCAAATCTTATACATGCTGAAAATACAGCGCCAAACTAGGTCCTGCGGACCAAACTGGATCGATAAAAGTAAAATGAAGTCTGAACATAATAATGAAGCCACTTTTCATTGTTTACAAGCGTAAACAATGCAGTTATAACTCAGTTCACCTATACGTTCATACATATAACCTCAATTTACAAAAAAAAATATAAGGAACTGAAGAGCAGCAACAACATTTTCATCAACAAACGCTCTCCGTCTGGACTCTGCACAGTCAATAGACGTTCTACGACTGAAAAAATGCAAAGGACTTGAATATTATTTGCTATTCTTTATTATTTTGCTCTTTAAATATCAAAATACTCAATTTATTATTAATTCGAATCATTATCTACAGGAAAGATTGTATGGCGCGTAAAAATATATTACCTAACATGTATGTGTTTGAAAGAACTTCATGTCGCGTTAACCCGGGTACATAGAAGCACTTAATCGGCCGAGGCATCTATCTGTATCTATCGAATATGTTCTGGTTGATTGTTAAAGTTATATGCTCTATTTCGGAACTTCAACTTAGCCCTGCGGTTGCAATATAAGGAGGAATATAAGAGAAAAGCTTAAAATAAATTTCTTGTTGTAGTTGAACCGTTGTGCGTGTCTGGTGCCAAGAAATGATATTGCAAAGAGAATTACTAAATTCAAATATTTTGCTATTGTTGTATAAGTTGACTCACATAAATCCAAAAACTTTGATAGTTGATGTAAAATCTTATAACATGGTTAACAATATTATAATTGTTTTGCAATATTGGTCCTAAACACTTTTTAATGACGTTTGAATAAACGAATAGATGAATCAGATCCACCAAACTATTAACATGGGTAAAAATTTAGTGTACATTATTAGTGTATATTTAGTGTACAATGGCATAAGATGTCATTTTATGATTGTTTAGAAAAGCGCGGTACATGTTATAGGCATAAAATATTTGCACGATCTGTTCTATGTTAGCCGTGCGATATGATAAAGCCTGCTAATCAAAATGTTTTCATGGATATCATCAAGCCACATAGCTTTTCATAATGAAACTTGCTGAGTTGCTCTTGGATAAATCGAACGTTCGTCTAGTTACTCCGGACAAGAAATTTAAAAGTATTATGTAATTTTCTATTGATTTTTCTACTACCCCTGTGTCCTCATGGCTGCATGGTTGTTTTAGACAGCTGTCAACTGCTTCAGCTCGTCTGGCATCAGACCGGGAGAGTTGGCTTTCAAAGGTAAGTGAAAAATAAGTTTCTTTCATATTTCAACGGCGCAGATTTTGTAATTGTGATTAATACTTTCGTGTGTGATCATCTCACTCCAAATAAAGTAAGTCTTTCAAATAATTTAAAAAAGAACATATATTTTTTCCCGGCGGAACGTTTTGCATAGGCTAAACCATAAGGGCTTTAATTGAAACCTCATTATTACGTGCGATCATGTTTGGGCGTGAGATAACGTGTTCTATTAAAAATTGTTGTAACCTGTTGAATCACGCGAACTATTACATGATCTCACTTTCTAAGCGAAATCTTGCAAAAGTATAATTCTAACTATTAGGATTATTCTGACCTGAACTTGATCGAAATTGTATGTCCTTCGTCGATGATCAGCTCTTGCACGTTCGAACGATTGATCCTGGCAAGTCATCGCATTCACAAACGTTGGCAGACCCCAAGGCCGAAAAGATCTACGAGCTGCAGATCCACGCAGCTAAGCCTAAACATCGAGACGAATATATGAGCACCTAGTGAGTAAAGACGTTACAACCTGTGGTTCTTGGCCAAGCCGCAACCTGTAGTATCCTAATTTACAAACATGACTTTTGTCAAGTTTTTATAACGTGCTTTATTTTAGCCATTTCAGTTTTATAAATATTTAAAAAGCAGTGGTTGTATTGCTATAATCCTGACAAGAATAAATAGGTTTTTTGTACGATAACATTAGCGAGAAGTACGCTGCAGCTTTGCCGCGAAAGATCAGCACAGCAGAGCATATTGGCAGTTGGCAGGTCGTCATTGGTGACCAGGACCATTTCGGTAAGTACTATCTTTGACGATCAATTTTCTTGTAAAGGATTCCTGTAAAAAAATGAGAAGTTTTCTTCGTTGCATAATCAGTAGTACTATGATAGAAAACTGTCTGAAGAACTACCCCACCCGTGTCTCATATTTTGTATGAAGTGTAGCATTGAATTGATATTGCGCAGTTATTTGATTGGGGACAAACAGATATCTAAAAAAGTACTATTCTATGGAACCTTCATTGTGTATAGCGATATTCCCTTCAGTCACTTAATTTGTAAACGTATTTGGGTTAATTTTTAGTGCATTTATGGCGGCATAGCGCGGGCTATCCTTCGGCATCTGAATGTGTCTGGGCAAACCAGAAGGACGATGAACTCAAGTCGCTAATTAGCGAGCAGAACAAATTCATAAGGTCAGAGAAATGCCTAGTTACCAGCATTGTATTAAACGACTGATTGCGTACTTCTATGTCTATTATACTTCAACTTCGGGGATGCCTTGACGCTTGAATTTAAATATGTGTGAACTGTCAGCGTTATGGTTTTTAATTTCTATCGATTGAATTCGAAAATATATTTGCCTAAAATACATAAAACGTTACATCGTCAGAACGTTTCTTAAAGATTTAGCCGAAGGTTTAAGTGGATCACTCCTAATAATAAATAAATTTTCGAAGCCGGAAAGTTGTTTGTAAAAAAATAATTGTTGCAAATAAATTTTCGAATTTTAGCCATCTAATTAAATACTAGAAAAGGCACAATACTTATTTTCGGTTGGCTCATTCTTGATCACATTTTTCCGGCTGTATATATATATATATGTATATATACATAACTTTATACTATTTCTGGTATGTAAACAAATATCCCGTTTACTTAGGTATTTTTTCAAATTACGTTTGTAATATATGTTGTTAATCGTCTTATCGCTGTGCTAATCGACGGGATCGTTTGAATACAAGGACGTTCGATAATTGGATAAGGATAATTGGATTTGCTGGTTTCTCGTAATATAAAATATTACTATAAGAATTAATTCGTTTTAAAAATAAAATAGCTAGAAAAATTTGACCAAGAACGAGCCAACCGGAAATTTGTGTTATCCTTTCCCTAGTATTTAATTAGACGGCTAAAATTTATATGCAGCAAGTGTTTTCTATAAACAACTCTCCGTTTTCCAATACTGGAGTTTTTCGCCTAAACAAGGCTACTTCGGCTTATAAATAAACCTTTAAAAAACATTCTGGCGATGTAGTGCTTTGTGTAGTATGCAGCAAAAGCGAATGTATTCTTTAAAAAGTAAAGATCATAGAGTTGACGGCTCATTGGTAACACAAGATCTAGAAAGAAAATGTAAAAAAATACATAAAGTTAGACAGACTCACCGGATATTACAGTGCCTCAAAATTAATGGAGTCACCTAGGAAAATAAGTACAAGCAAGAGTAACTACAGCTTTATTACTACTGCGCTTGTGCAAAATTACACGCAGCGGGTGCCACTTTCCATACTGCTAAACAACCTTCAAGGATACTGGTCAACTGAAGGCAATGTACTGAATACTTTGTATTGAAGGTATCATTTAAGGTCATAACATACGTCTTGATAATACTAAATCAATATCAGCCATTAGACCTGACAAATGGCGTAAACTTGGTCCGATTTTTTATGGAATAATATAATTTGTTCACTAATATCAAAGTCATGGGTTTAAAGCTCGGCACTATTGATAGTATATCCGCTTGATATGGCACAAATTTAGCCTAAAGAAAAGACGGAACTGGCGATAAATTAGATTATTAGCAGTTGTGTCCCTACACTAGTATTTGCCAGTTGCTAAAAGTGGGGGAGAAGAAATAACGATGCGGCTACTTTTGTGTTACGGAGTAGTGCTTAAAATTGCGCCGTGCTTTTGGCACAAATTTGTATCAATCGGTCATGCGAATAAAGTAGTATTTATTATTCTTCGAATTGAAAAATGACCAAAGTCAACCCAATTTACGGTATGCTGATCTATATTTATTTCGTCGTTTTAGGTCACGTGAGAACACGTTTATGTTGGCATTCTCGTTCTGGGGACACCCTGATCCTAAGGTAAGAGCTACTCGCATAGGAATATTATGGAAAACATTTGTCGTAAGGTACGTGCTTCAACAATGAGACCTTGCAACCGGCAATTAGTAATAGATATTATAATTAGAAATGGGCATAAACATTTCTTTTAACGGAGGATGTTGCATGTTCATAACTCTAGTATGGACAGACAATAAAGGTAATATCAGTAACATATAAAGTTCATTGTACATATATCCATGTTTTTATTTGTTTCAGGAAAATGGGGGAATTTACGAGATGCGTTCGTACGTATTGAAGCCAGGCACGATGAGCGAGTGGGGCAATAACTGGGCCCGGGGTATTACCTTCCGTAGAGAGAATGCCGTGGCCGGATTTTTTACTCAAATTGGACAACTCCATTGCGTCCATCATTTCTGGAGTGAGTGGCCGATTATCTAACGTCCATTGCACCATTTAATTGACAAAAGTGGGAATCAGATTACTTTAACGGGAGACTGTTTGCATCTAAACGAAAGAAATTGATGTATAATAAGTGTTTTGAATGCTTGCCGCACGTAAATAGTGAATGATAGTTATTGCCTATTTTTAAGCATCGCGAAACTACGTTATTCCTCTTATTAGCGTACAAAAATTTGACGGACCGCAAGGAAACCCGCGAGCGCAATTGGTCGAAACCAGGCTGGGATGAATGCGTTGCCTACACAGTTCCTCTTATTCGAGAGATGAGGTTGGTGTTGTGATGTTGTTTTTCAAAAACTTCCGTCCTTTCGTACTTTCAAACACTACAAACTTTAAATAAATCTCTACAGCTATCATGGTCTTGAAATGCATGTTAAAACAACTCAGGTGTTCATAACTCTTAACCTTACCTATCTTGAAAGGATCATTATTCAGCTTTAAGAACCGAACCCTTATATGTATATTGTATATTTATATGTATATTTATGCAGTTTATATGTATATTAATGCAGCTAGAATTGCACGACCGTAAACTACAACAAAACAGAGTTGAATCATTCATACTACAGTACGAGTAATTCATTTCGATTTATCACTGCTTACGTTTTGTAACATTGCAGGTCGCGATGGCTTTTTTCGTTGCCGTTTTCGCCCCTGAAATAGACTTCACAACCTGACAGGCCGTAGTGGGCCATTATTAGGCTATTCACGTAAACGATCTGCTATCAATCACCCCGCAGTAAGAAAATCTAAGGGTTCGTCGCAGAGAATTAGAAACGTTTACCTCTTGAAAAATTGTTCGAACTTTGTCATTATCCCATAATGATGACAATATTATTGTTTCGTTACATGGAGACATTATATATATATATATACATATATATATAATCTAGAGCAAGAAGGACAAACGTAGGAAGAGAACGGTCAATTTTTTGAAGCATTTCAGCAGCGCTTATACGTAACCAGGGAAAGGAAAAATAATGCTTTATGGAAAGGATGCAACGAGCGCTGTGGGAGATATTCTCAGTTGGTTTTTAATGACTGTAACAATTTAAGTTACGTTTTGAATTGAACAATTTGTAAATAAAAAATAAACAGTCATTTTATTACAAACGTTTTTATTAACTACATATCTGAGTGAAGCCAGAGAAATATCCTGCTAGGAAGCCTCACACACTTTACGAGACTAAGTATATAAAAGCAATTGTTCAGCAAGTGCACCTGTGCGCTTCTATTAAATTGGTATCTAGAATTTATGACACAGGATCGGGCGAATTCAGTGAAAATTACTTAAAATGTTTGTTTTTCTTTATTTTGTTCTTTTCTTCTCAATCTTTTTCCCTCTTTCGTTTACCTATTTATATTATTCATTATACCAGTCATTATCATAATCATATCAGCATCTCATGTCTCTGTATGTATTGCGCTTGCTTTGTTCTTTTTTCATGCTCGCTGATTCTTTCTCCCACTTACTCTGAGTCTTTTTTTCTTGAACAGGGCCATCATCGATCCCTTCTCGTTTAATTTTTACTAATAATTCATGATCAAGATTAGCATTGTTACCAACGGTAGTATCATCGCCGCCGGATTTTCAGAAGTTGTCATTGTCTCATTGTACCATTATTATTAGCGATATAGTTGTTACTTAATTATGTAGTAGTCAATCAGCCACTTGTATTTTGGTCACTGTGTTTGTTCTATTGTTCTTCGGGAGACGTACGACCCTTAGCATGGTTATCAGCATCGTCGTTTTTAGTTTCCTAAAATAGAAGAGGGCCAAATTCTACTAATTTTCAACTTCTTCTTTACTATTGTTGCTGTTGTTCATCGTTTGTAAGTGGACCACTGTTAGCATACATTCAGCATATTGTTCTTATTCAAACAGGTTTTCTATAACTGTTGTGCTTATCGTTGCTGTTACTGTTATCGTATGCGGTACAGCCTAGGTTGCCCTGTTGTCCTGGGAGTTCTACTCGCGTCAACTGCTTTTTTCAGTCATTTTCTACGTAGTAATATTAGTAGGAAACTATTGCTGCTATTGTTCCAATCAACCTTATGGCTAGGCGACAATAGCACGATTGATGATCGTCAACAAAACTAACACGCCATTGCATGACATGGCCTCTTCGCGTAATTGCCCTGCATTTTTGATATTCCTATCGCTAGTAGAAGTCATGAACAATATATATATATATATATATATGTCACAGGCAACAATGTCTGTCCTATTCATTAGTGGTAATATTTTGGAACCTGCGCTCAACCTCCTTTCATCGTCTCATACGCGTTGCTAGTAATGCTGTTATTCTTGTTCCCTTTGTATAGATAGAGGCTCTCTCATCCTTAGCAGTGATAATGTGAATATTTGCGTTGTTTTTGTTGCTACTGTTGTGGCTGTTATTGTTGTTGTTTTTATCCATCGTTTATGCCTGTTGCCCAGTGTGGTTCCGCTGAGCTGAGTGACCCTTTGGTTATTAGTTTTTTTATATTTCATTTTGCCTGTTGCCCTTGCTCCTGCTGATGTTAGTGTATTAGAGGCGCAAAAGTTAACAAGGCAATTGGTATGCATCATCATTACTTCACTATCACCTCTTTCTATATATTTAGTAAGTAATGCGGCCTCAGTTTCAGCAATAATCTTCTCTTAACTCAAATCATATTTGCCACAGTTAAGTTACCAGTAATAGTCATTCATGTATATTTTTATATACGAGATATAGCATTTTAGCATATAATATTTATATTCCCTCTTCTCTATAGGTTTCTTGTGTTTTTTGAAGGATTTCTTCTTTCCTTCGTTTCTATCGTAAGAGAAACACGTTTTCATCGCTATCGTACATATGATAGTTTATTAATTACCGTTTATGTTTGCTATCGTGTCTTGTTATTAATGGGAGCTGAGTATACCATCTATTCATTTCGTTTTGCCGATATTTCAGTTGCTGCTTTTATCTACGCTTTGTGTGATTGTGACGTTAGCATGCATGAAGGTGCGCATGCAGTGTGGCACACGATTTATTTCTTCTGCTGTTGACGGTGCTTTTCTCAGTGGTTTTTGCGAAGACATTATGCAAAGACACTACTCTTAATATTTAATATTCTATTTGTATATGTAGCATTATTAATCTTGTTCTTCTAATCGTCATCATCATATTATTTTGTAATCATTTACCAGTTAGTTCCAATATATATATGTAGTATTACCCATCAGTTTCATAATTATATATATATATATATATATGTGTGTGTATGTGTGTGTTATTTTTCAAATCGATCAATAATAATAATTATTACCTGTTGTCATTATGTAATTTGCTCTATTGTACAATATTAAATGATGTATTAGTCCACAGATTGCTCTCTCTCTCTCTCCCCGTTTATATACACATATGTTTGCAACAATTAAACGTCTCATTGTAGGACGCTGTCTCAATGCGGCAAATGTGGAGTGATCGAGGCCCGCCACCCCGATCGATAAGTAAGTACTAAAGAAATTATCGTGCTAAATGGTCTTGGTTATCCTTCTATTCTATTGTTAGAGCGATATTCTTATCATTCAAGGTTTAAAGATATCAACTCATAATGATTTGTTTTTAATTATGACGTCAAGAGCCAGATAAAGTCGACCGGGCATACACCTGTATCAGAAATACGATTGTCTTTGCTTTAGGTAATAAAAACCTGCCTGCCGTCTGTCTGTCGTCAAAATATAGAACTGACCTCCATTGTAAATAATAATGAACTTCTACGACAGCAGGTAGCCATATACTATAATTGATAAATAAAAAAAGCAGTACGTGAATGCCTAAATCACTCAGGCCGGAATTAGAGAATGAACCAAGTTTGACATGTGGCTTTGGTTACCAGCTCAATTTTTTTAATTTTTTTTAAGAAGCAATGTTGACACAACGCTACTTAAATACAATAAATGAGTAGACGATTTATAACATTATTACAATATATTATAATAGATTGTAGATAATAGCTTTGCTTATTAGCCCAGACATGGGCCAAGAATGAAACGTAGCAGTATTCTACAGTTATTGCTTATCAAAGTTTATCGAATAGTCGTAGCAGAAACGCGAGGCTCGCATACATAACACGAATGCCTATACGAACCGTAAGAAAATTGTATTGATACACAGTGAATTCCTGTACAGTTTCTTCGAATTCCGTCAGACGTTAAACATCTTTTCTGTGGTCGCTTTTTGGCATTATGTTAGCTAGCTGCATTATCAATGACATAAGTTATACATAATAACACAAGTATGATTAAATAAAGAAATAATGACAATTATCAGGAACGTCAACTAAGAACTCTATAAGGACTACTACGCGTTTAAAGTGGGCAGTCAATTTCATCCGTATTATTCTATAACATTTCATGCTGCTGCTTCCATGTCAAGCCAGACTTTTCTGTAAAGCCTTATTTTTCTAAAGTTTGTTTAAGTTTTGATGCCTTGTGCTAATGATCATTTCATAATAACAGTTCACAACCTCTAACATCGTCAGGGGGTGCGGGCTATTCAGATTCGGTATGCTGCTGCAGTCGAGTCTGAACGTCTAAACGTCGTCAAGATTCAGGTATCGTCGAGAACTTCGTGTTCTCTGAGCAAGTGCTTTTTATTCATCCATACTCCTGCTGTGCCATGTCCTATTTCCGATGTATCTGACATACTCATGCCGCTTCTATTTCCTCTCAGTGTTCGAAATTTTTAGATGATTTTGCCTCCTATCATCCCATTTTACAACGTAGTATGAATGTCGCGTATTTCATCCTGTTATTCGATTGTTTATGGTCTTTTCCGTTTGTTCTCAAGCGAAACTTCTTCGCCTACCAACATATTTATCTATTGATTTACTTGCTAATGCCCCCTGTCACTGCGTGCGAGCTATACATTAGATGCGTTTAAATTTATTATGCACAATGTCGACGTCTATTCCGCTTGCCGTAATATAGCCGTAAATATGCCCTTATTCTCAATGGCAACTTCTCATTATTCGAATGCTACAGGTCGCTAATGCTTGCAGAGTATAAACCAGTCGACTTTACTATAGGATAGTATTAATAATAATAATAATTGTCGACTAATTACGATCATGATTTTATATCATTCGAGATTACATGAAAGTCTTGCACGGCATGCGTAAGTCTTTAGTATGTTGACGAATGCGGGCAGCGAACGGCAAATGTCAAACATTCGGGTACAGTGTAATATGGTGCTCGGAACATGAGTTCGTTTAACGTGAAACTGTATTAAACTGACGTCCAGTTTGCTCATACTAAAATAGGGTATTATAAATTCTTTATGAATTAGGTCACGGATTTGATGTTATTGCAGATCATTATGGCGTTGTGGATCTGATACTGAGGCCGTTATCGGTATTTTTCTCCTGAGCTAATAGAAAAGACGTAAGCTTTGCTACCCTTGAACGAGTAGCCGAAATGCAGTTAGTTGACTTGCCGAATCATTACGTTATAGATGAAGCTAACAACATTGTTCGAATACGCATTGTAGAGTCTTTTGTGGAAAGAACACTTCCAGACTCACTTTTATTAATTTTTATGTTAGGCAAATAGCAGCAAACTTTGATGATAGAAAGGAATCGCTAGACTATTTTGATAAGGTGTGCTCTCGTTTTCTGAGCAAGAGGATGATGTAGATTGTTGAGATGTTTTTACCTCGTTTCTTTTTTATAGTTTGTAAATTTCTCTGCATAAAAAGCATTGTCTGCTCATTATTTGAACGTAGTCATGTTTTCGTTATTAAAACTGTTGACCTTCAGCTCGGTATATATTGGACTACTGCAAACGAATCTGATGGACTTTCAAAGTAAATAATTTCAGCACTGGATGCCATTAGCAAATGAAATTTGTTTAAACACTCAGAAATTTATGGGTGAAGTTTAAACAAGCGAAGATTAGTTGAAGAGAAGTCTCAAAAATGAGTGCCCAGTAGTTAAACTTTTGTAAAAATAGCAGCACTGCCAAGACTTATTTATTATTATAAATTAAAGACTAGTCGAGACATTAAGCAAGGAAACACAAGTTGGGAGTCGAAGGGCGCTGTTGGCCAAAATTAGCATTTCGTATGTAACCGTTGAAGAACTATCTATATGAATAAATAAAATGCGGATGCCAAGTTAAGAACGGTTTCGCTGTAAATTGATTTTAGGTCAATTGGAAATTCGCGTAACGTATTCCACGAGCAACTTTAATTAACCAAAATCTGGCTTGAAGCGTACGGTCGCTATAGGCCTTATCTAGCCTTCATTGCCAGCCAGCGAGGGACTAGGTGAAAGAATTGTGTTCCTTCAGAGGAAAATCGAGTTCTGTACCAGTGTCGAAGATTTGCGGACGTAAGGTAATGATAGCACTTATAATGGACATTAGTAGCATCAGCCACTATGAGGCGCTCACCGGCAAATAAAGAACGAATTCAGTCAGCAAATTCGAGCTCCTTAAGAGACTCATGGGTTGCTGGCATGATAATCGAAAGAACTTAATGACGATGCTAGACCCTATGATCATGCTTCAATTACTTCCTGGATAGAGCAAACGAATATCCAACATTGGCTTCAACCAACTTATGCTCCCAGTCATCTCAATACGAAACTTGTCAGGTCTGAAAAAGAGTAACCAATGGGCAAGAATATTCCACTATAGATTTACTTTGAAAAGCCACAGAGGAATTATATATGGGGACGCGAATGGAACTAAGCCGATAAAGCTCCGAGACAAGTGTGTAGGCATTAAAGGAGAGTAATTTTTTATTTATATGAAAATCATCATTCTAGCCTAGTTAATTCGAAGCTTATTCAATTTCAAAGTCCGCCGAATTCACTTTTAACACCCCAATTAAATAAAAAGTGTATAAGTTGTGAGAGTGGCAGAGAATGTGGTGAGAATGCATCGCACACATCTATCTGGATTTGTTTTATCTATAACGATAGTAAATATAGAACTAACGGCTACGTACACACTCTCACAAACATTCAATCATATAGTTTCCATGGTTTAAGAATATGTATCATATAATCACTGTTTTAATGGTAACTTATTTCTATTATAGTAACCATTATCCTTACTGTGTGCATAACATGATCAAATCAAACGCGCAATCATTTAGTAAGACTGTCAATCAATGACTTTTTGATTACCCTATCGACTTAACTCTGCGTTGAACATTCACTGATCTTTTCTAAGTTATACAGCACGAGCCGCGCCGAAGTGCGATGTTTCCGCCAACAGATGCTGCCAGGAGCCCATCTACTGGTGGGCTAACCCGACTAATAGGTCGTCTATAATTTTTACTAGATCATGTGACTGATCCAATAGTGTAGTCTCCTTGCTACTCTTTACGTGACCCAAACAAACTGATAATACTTGTCTCTTTAGCACAAAAAGAAATCGGCCTGTAGTAAATATGTCTTCATATTTTTGTCTGTTTTCTTTGAAACTTCATTCACCAACTGGGCCTTCTTACACCGGTTTTTATTTTGGCTTTGTTATACATGTTAGAGCGCTCTTTAAAAATTCTAGCTGGATTTAGAGGTGTTTATTATACCCCCTAGATAACTATTATATTCCTAAATGACTCGTGTTTTACTTCCCACCGTCTTCAACATTTACCATTTCAAACTTGTGTAGTTGTTTTTCTCATAGAACCTCCTTTCGCTTGGTTGCGCGCATCGGGGACACGTAATGGCTTTTCACTACGTTATTCAATAATTACGACACATAAAGTCGAGCAGCTACTCGTTTGTTTCTTAATGTTTTTATCTTCCCGGTGTTGTAAAGGGACACACAAGCACGTATACACTTCCACACTGGATGCCAGACGCAAATCAAGCAATTATTCGGATCTGCTGTTGTTGCTATTACGAGTCCAATGCTCCATTTCTATCATTCTATAACATTACGTGAAAAGGAAAAGAATCTTCCTTTTTATTGAAATTTCTACTTACTGTTTAATATTATTTTTCTTATTTATAGCTGTTTTGTTGTGTCTGCGTATTTGTACACGGTCCAGTTTTTCAGTTTATACTCATTTTCTGTTTCGGACCTTGAGCGAAAGCCATTGTTCTCTTCATCGTTGCAATCATCATTGTCACCATAAATGAAAATGGTGACGATTACGACAGTGACCGCAGCGACAACGGAAACTATGGTCTATGTATGATACCATTTTCCTCTCTGGTTATACTCATCGTTTTGAATGCGGGATATACGAGCACTGGCTGCATCGATTATCATTCTTATATAACCTTGTTATTACGATTATCAATAACAAATCTTTTCAAACTGGTAATTAATCGCGTGGACATTGTTCTCTCTTGTCTGAACATGGGCAGTTTTTTGAATCGTCACCATTTCACACTCACAACAGTTGTTTGTTCGCAGTCTTCTCATCCTCCGCTCCGTGTATATTGTGGACTGATTTCGTCGTAAGCTCTAGCCATATACCAACTGTCAGATATCGTAAGTCATTACCTGCACCTATAAATTAATGATTTCAAGTTCTACGACGTCAGCCGTTAGTTCAGCTGGCTGGCTCCCAGTACGAAACGAAGTCCGGATTCGAACTCCCTAGATTTACTATGCAACCACGTTACTACTGCACTACGCGCGCTCATGCGCAAGATGCCCAAACACTATTATGCAAATATATGACCGGAATGGATTAGCTTGCCTTCTCGGGTGGTGGCAGGACGGTCGTCAATGGACCGTTATCGAGACACTCAGTCCCGATTGAACCCTAATATTCATAGCACCAGAGCAGATAATTTCCAGAGGCTTTCGAGTGTTTGTTTAGTTCTTTGCGAAACTAGTAATCGCATTGTTGATCTTACATTTTTGCTGTCGCACTTTCTCCCTCTGTTTTTCTCTCTTCCTCTCTCCCTGTCTCGCTTCATCCTGTGTGTCATCCTTTCCTGTGGTGCCTGAATGTACGGACGCACTGTCAGCTAAACGAAGCCTAGAAAAGGCAAAACTGGAACTGTCTATAGCTCAAGACAGCTGAGTTCACGTCCTCAGGTGGCGAGCTCTAGGCTACAACGGATATCGAAGTCTTTCGGCTCCTACTACTAGATTGCATATACATTACATTGAGATCCGTTATTAAACACACAAGCATTGAAGTCTCCTCTGTTCTGCCATTTTGTTAGAATGAAAAAAACCGAACGCTTTTAGCCATTTTAAAGAAAACCTCAAAAATTGCTGATAGTGTTTGAGAATTCATCTTACTACAGTTGACTGCGAAACGGTTTCCGTTTGTTGTTCTAGTCTAAAGATGTATTTCGTTAGTAAAATCACTTAGAACGATACTGAATGAATAGAGGCATTTACCTTATATTACTGACTGTAGAAAAAAAATTATTAGGTGAGCCGGGTGATACTGATCTGGCGTAGTAGGCCGTGGACGAGATATTTAATGCTTCCAACGATAGTCTATTCTATGGGTATCAATGTTAGTCAAGAACTCGAGTTGGGAATTGAGACGGAGACTTAGCCGACGTGAGGAACCGTTCCCAGCAGGACACTGGCACCCGACTACACGTTTCAAAGAAGATGCACTTTGAAGTAGAAAGTTTTTAAAAAGAGTCATCAATTAGATGCTTTCTACTTCAGCATTGTAGTTATCATTTTTATTATTAATATTGTTATATAGTACAACATGCTTGTAAGTATGCCCACACCTGTTCACCCTAACGCGACATTTTCGCTTACTCTCAATTGCCAAAAGACATTCGCTGCGATAAATTTTATTAGGTAATAGGTACGTGTTACGGGTTCGTGCTGAGCTTTGCCTTGCGGATAACGATGCGAAGCGTTATTACTGTGTTAATCAGTTCCCTCAGAACTCTGAGAACTTGCGACACATAATCGCTCACACTTTCCTCAGCCCTATGTTTATTGAACATTTTAAAATTATGTTTTGGTACTTACTCTTGTGAAAATATCCTTTTCTTATTCTTGGCCCATTTTAATGATCAAAGAAAAACTAAGGGACAAAACTGACCTCAAGTAAAAGTTTTTACTCGCAAGTACCAAATTCTAGAAGTATTTTTTATTTTTCTCCCAACGAAGTAATTAAAGTGAAACATTTACCAAAAACTACCGTTTAGCTTGAACATGTTCGTGTGTGTATGTTCAGATATTCAAAGTTGACAGATCGTAACCTATTTTGCATCCGGATGGTAATGAAAAACGGGAAAGAAAGGCATTCTGTATTCCGTTGATTAAATTTTTCCTCAAGCTGTCTTCTAGACTTATTTAAAAATCGGGAGCGACACAGTTCAGACCTGTGCTCAGTCCTAGCTTTGATAGCTATTTGAGATCCTCTCGTATAATAATGGTATTTATAGCGCGGATGAACCGTGTATCGTACTCAATGATACTCCGATGATATTACTGCTGTAACAAGCTGCTGTCTCTTTATAACTATAATAGTATATACATTAATTGCGGATGCGTCTCACGTTGACGCTTTATCTAGCCTTCATTGTGGTCATTTCCTCATTTTGATTGACTGAGGAAAAACGGAAAAACGATGAGCGATTGGAGACAACCAGTTAATTCTGATCATTCACTGCGTTTGTTTTCTTGTGTGACGGGTACTTTTCCATATAGCAAACGATTGGATTGGTTGACACTCCTAAGCTGAACGGAGAGCAAACTTAACACTCAATCTTTGGTGTTGATCAGCTTATTTTATGTACATGGATATTTAGGCCTCTCAGTCCTTTTCGGGATACCATCCTTTTGATTTACATTGCAGCGGCACTATGTTCTCATACAACGGTTGCATATTATCAGTTATATTAGTAACAGGCTACGACCAAAACGTGCGCTCAATGCACAGCTCTCATCTTTGGCTGTATGATGCTACGAATCAATGTGTTCTCAACATCAACACTCCATCAATACCGACGCTGGAATCGCTGGCAGGAGATAAGTGTCATGATAATTTATATCAAAATGAAAAGGGGCATTCCTATATATTATATAGAGTTTGTAAGGTCCGTGGGGAGGGTTTTTTGGAACAGGATTTTTTAGGACAGGATTTTCCGCTTCCGGCTATGATCGGATCAAACCTAAAAACGGTTTATCCGCTCACAGCCGGGAAATATGGCTAGACTTAAATATAATAAGCCTCTAGTGTGTCTCGCGCTATTTCCTAGGACGAACGGGTAGACAAGATGTCAAGGTGAAATACCATCATCAACAAAGGCCAATCTGTGTTTCTGCTATGATTGGTGCTCGGCTTTCTTAGGAAATCTCTGATTTTGCCAAAACTTCTTATAGAACAACTGGCTCTTGGAGTTCTTTTTTGGCACTTCCCCATGATACTTACTCGTGTCTATTTATGGTTGCAGTACGGTTATATTTTTTGTAAGCTGTCATTCTAAAGATTTTCGACAGCGAACATTGACATTGAAATAGGCCTCTTCTGTAGTTACGTTCTTTAGATAGGCGAATTGTGCAGTCATTGCTTTTTTACCATAGGCCTCAACAGTTCATGTTATATCGCATTTTAACACTTTCTTCTATGCTTATTCAGATACGGTAATGCATGGGCGCTTTGTGCTGCTATATAAATTAATGTAATTGATTAACTCACAGCGTTATAAGTACCTTCGCTAGGAGCCGGTTGAACCCCTGCGCCATGTGTCAGAATCAGCCGATGTGTTTCCGCGTGCGAGACGTGTTTGTTGATAGCATCTTTCTTTTTGCTTCGAGAACGGATTTCTATTTCAATAGGTAGCTGGAACATGTGTGACCAAGAAAAAATAGTACATAGCTATAATTATTGGTTATAGTTTAGATTTGTACGTATGTGTACAATTATTGTTTCAGCAGTAATCTGTGATAAATTTGCCGAGCTGTTCTGGTTATGCCTCTTTTGTGGCCTCACGCATAAGCAGATGTCGTCGCTTAGTACTTTTTTGCTAATCTCAGTTTAATTAACATGAATTTTTATTCCCTTGTGAATATATAAGATAACTGCCCTTATACGGAACGGACCTGAATTTATTAATATATCCTTTGCACTATTAAGTTCGCCAATTATAGTAAGGATTTTGTAGTATCTAGTATAGTATAAAAATTTCACCGAGATTTTTTTCACATATTTTACGTATTTTTTAACGTTGCTTAAATGGACAACAGATTCGTCTGCCTAATGACGCTTTACCTTTGGTCGATGTAGATTGTTATAACGTAAGTATCTCGTAAGGCTCCAATGCTACACCAATATGCTAAGCAGACTCGCTGCAATAGAAAAATTAAATTCTGGAAGAAGTCGCCCATTTCCTGCGATCTGATGAATTATTATCGCACTGTAACTTGCATCGTTAGACCTTTATAACAGTTCCTTCTTTGCCCTTGATATATTCTAATAGTGTTCCTTCATCTCGTATCTTGTAGTGGGTCGGTTTCTTCTCCACCGGAGTTTAAAGGATCCATCGTAGCCATGATAATAAAACGCGGTTATAACCCTATTACATAGTCTTCAGCATCACAAATTGAGTTTCGGTGATAATATATTTGTGTGTGTTTCTGTGTGCTGTATTTATGCTTGTGCGTGTGGATTTAAATGTGCATGGCACCTGAATCGGTGTTGACAGCCTGTAAAGAGGATCGGATCTTAAGTTTGAACGGTGCAATGTATCAAACTGTGAACATTATCAGTATTTTTATTATTCTATTATAGTTAGGTATGAGCGATCCTGCGCAAACTGTGACCTGTTGACGTGTTCTAGTATCAAATAATGGTTTATTTCGTTATATCAATCATAGGTTAGTTTCTATGAATGCCTCTGATAAACGAACGTCATCTTTATCTTCATATGGATTCTAACATAATTTTAGAAGTATTTTATTTTGGTCGTTGTTGTATATAACATTGTCCTGAATGTTTGCACGGCTTTTATCGGTACACATATGAAATAACAAGGTTTCATTTGTGCACCCTTATCGACGTGCTCAAAGGTTGAACGTCACGCGTGTGCCATCTTAAGAGCACTATATGTGTTATAGAAGATTAATATGTTGGTTGTGTTATTATTTTATATTACAAAGTGCGAACGAGTACTATTTCGAGAGCAATAACGATAGAGACTTGTCTTCTTATCACGTCATTCAGGGCAACAACAGGTAAATGCGTCTGCTAGGTAGCGGACTGCTCCGCATGAAGTGTATCGTAATATCTCGGATTTTAATAAGTTGATAATGGTAGATGCAGCAAAGATTTTTTATAAATCCCACAATCGTCATTTTCATTGTGTGCCACGTAACAAAAAATGAAATGTTTGTCAGTATAGTTATTACACATCATACATATTATTAGGTGGTCGAAAGGGTGCACTGACGGTGTTTCTGGATAGATGTTTTTAAAGTCCTCACCCCCCAGCTAATACGCGTCGCGTCAAGTCAACGTTGGCGTCGTTTGAAAACTGATGATTTCTGGAGTAGACGTTCTGAAATTATTAGAATGCTTCTATTCAAACTTAACACAGAACTCTTTAAGGATGAATGAAATTTCTGCAAACATTAGCTATAGTTTATAATTATACAAAACAAGATGGCAAAGGCACAAATGCTGTCTAGGCTTGAAAAAACTGTGTGGACCAAAGTTAAGATACGCTATTTCGCTATGAAAGATGCTTTCCATAGTGGTCGACCAATCATGGAAAAACTCCATAAAATTATTTTGAGTCGACATATGAGTGTCACCGACAAACCAAACATTCACCGCCAGACAGGGTTAAATCATGTGAGACAAGTGATCTACAGAAACAAGTTCGAAACTTAGGTGCTACACGAATGGACGCAATAAGAAGTTACTCGATCGCATTTCGATCTATTGAACTTCACAGAATTGCAATGAAGAATAAAGCGGCTGACAACGAAGGATCAAACAGAGGTGATTTGCGATAATAATGTGTCAAAATAAATCACCACCATTGCAACACCTGAACTGGCAGTAAAAATTAATTTGTTGAGATTGGAGAGGAATCGTACATTATGAGCTTTTACCGCTTGGCAAGATGATTGTTTTGGACCTCGACTGTCAATAACTAAGCAGACGACAGCAAGCCATTAAAAAAATCGACTGGAACTAATGAACAGAACGAGCGTTACCTGGTAAACATTGAATAAAAAATGTTTGGTCCGCCGTATGGTTCGGATCTTGTAACTTCAAACTGTAGTCACCTGTTTTGGTCTCAGCAAAACTCTTAATGGTTTTAATCGAGCGATACATAGTTTATTTTACGTATCTGTCTGCTTAGAAACTTCTGCGGTGATAGGATTATGGTGTTAGTAAAAGAAATGGCCCACAATTAGCTTAATATTTTTGATTTAAGATACAAAAAATATTTGCTTTTAGTTAATACTTTTCGACCACCCACTATTTGAATCTATTTAATTTTCTGTTCATTCAACTGATTTCGCACGATTTTGCTTAACAAGCTATTTTTAACAATAGGTTTCAGCAACATCAGTCTGTTTTTGCAGCGCTAATATGTAATGATCGTAGGAGAAACACCTAACGAATATAAGCTCTAGCTGACAAGCAGAGCCTTCCCCATAAATCTTAGGGAATGTACTTACTGGAGTTTCACATAGATTTTACCTAAAAAAAACGTTGCTAAATCTTATAATGATATGGTATTATATAATAATTATTATATAATCCAATAGGTTGTACCAATGTGTCTCAGGTTTGTGTGGGATATCTCGTTTCTCGAGCCCACTTCACTAGATGTTGCTGATGCACACTTATTATTATTAGTTATAATAGTATTGTTGCTCCCGGATCAGACGGGCGTGGTTCTGCGCAACGTGTCAAGCGTGGTAGAGACAGTCGTGCAGGTGAAGTCTCTGGATAGTTCCCTTGAGAGATCTCTGGACGCGGCGCGCTCAGTGAAGCCTGTGCCGGATCTGGAGATCGGCCGATGAAGGTAGGTCAGATCGGTCATCGACTCCGATAGCGGGATAACGTTTGATACTGATCGCCGCCGCTGGTAGAAGTCTTGCTCCTCCACGGAATAAGAGGACTGCAGCTTTCGAATTGAATTGTGCCTTTACAATAAGCGCAAACGAAATGAACGCATATAGGATGAATCTCATAGAACCAAAGGAGACAAATAAGATTAAAAACACGCGTGCTTTTCAGTTGAAGCTCAATTTCTTCTTTCAAAACTACCAGTTTGATTATGGTCATTATGTTGAAGTAACTCAAGGAGTAATAGTGGCGGAGTCTAATAAATTTTTAGGTACTCGCAAATGCGAACTCGACCTATTAGACTAACATACGTCACTCAGGTAAAAAATACTTGAAAGACATAGGTATAGTATTATAGAATAGAATTCGTTTAATGAAACCTATGCTGTTGCTGCTGGGTATGTACGGATCCTGAAGAATGATGATGATGGTTATGGCAGTGGCCAAGGGCATCGGTTGTACCCGAGGTCGTGGTTCCGTAGCCACCTCCTCCGAGGCCACCTAGAAGGCCCAATGGGCCCCCAACTGCACCTATGGCTCCGTGTCCGTGTCCTCCCGGATGGATCGATGTTACGCTTCCCGTTGTGCTGCCTGCAAGATAAACGGCCACATATGTAAAACAGATGTTATAGAATCGCACGTACAAATCGCGAGGACGACGGCGCTGATGATGATAAGGTTCGCTAACGTTGGCAGACAGAATCTCACTATATGCCAATAATTCTATCGCTAGGCTTAGCCAAAGCAAAAAAAAACTGCTCGCACTTACTTCCTAAAAAAAGGCAAAGGCTTTTAACAAAAAATATTATCCACCTGCCGTGCGAGCATAGCAACCAATAGAGAACACATTATTGTTCAGTACTTGAAATCCTTCTCCTTTTTGGCATTTGAGATGACCTTTATAAGATTGCAATTTCCACCTAATGGGCGATTAAGACGGATAGTTATAATATGTAAGTCATGACACTCGAATTTCTGCTTAACCATGCTTTTTTCTTTCTACATAATTATATGTAGGCTATAGTTATTTTTGTTACCAGTGTACGAAAAGCGGCTACAGTGTCTTCTGCAGGGTGCCGCATGAGTTTCATTGTTTTGCTGGAGAAACGAGTCAACCTTGCGGTCGAGGCCTTTCTTCTTCAGCTCCTGTCGATACCTGCGTTATACAGTAAAAAATAAGGCTTACGTAAATATTTATTACCGCTTCCCTAATGTCGTCTTTTAATCAGCGTTTCATTCAATTATGCCATCGTTTTGTGTCCTGAGAGCCTACCCTAAATGACAAGCAGCACCAGGTTCTTACTTCGTGTTGAATTCGACTTTCAGCTTATATCCCATCCAGGTTCGCACTTCAAGTCACCCCAAAGCTTATTTAAAATAGATGCGCACGGATGTATATATATATATGGATAGGCCTCATAGCGGCCAGCCTTTTTACCTGTGGATACAGAGAAAGATTGCAAAGGTGCCTGCTAGCTCACTGGACATTAACCCGGTCACCGCTAACAAGAACGAGTACCCGTAACGGTACATAAAAAGTGGACCCTGAAATGAAAGTAATCATGCTTATTAACTTTCTGATTAAAAAAATTGTCATAATCAATAAGTTGGACAACTGTTTGCTTATTGTATGAATTATAAATCAAGTCCTCAATGAAAATTAACTTCTCCTTGATTGAGTACTAATCCTTGAAAAGGTCAAGAACATAAAACATAATGACATTTAGTACGTATGGCATAGTATATGAACTGTTTTTGCTGTTCACGACATAACGTAGATAAAAAAGATATCTATTTCAAGGTGAACCCCTATTAGTTTACCTGAAACGTGGATTTAGGTCTCAATTTGGCTCCGACTTCAGCCTTAAACGTGGATATATAGATGACCATGCCGACGAGAATCATTAATCCCGATATAATGAAACAGATGCCCGCAGCGAAGATGAGCACTCGCCGTCGACGTAAAAGGTGACCGAGCAAACAGAGAACCTCACCCGTCAGCAGAATTAGAGCCGAAATTAGGATAAATGCGGAGGCACGATTGACAGCATCTGCAGTGAACATGGTTAGCTCACAATAAAAGTCGTGAAAATCGAATTACTTACTATAGGTTCTTGCTTTTCTTTGCCTTCTGGAAGGTAAACTTTGCACGAAGTTATATAACCTCATATAGAATTATTCGGTTTAATTTAATATTAAACACACTTCGCGTTTAATATTATTTCAGAGCATGCCTGTTCTTTGTCAGCATGTTGGAACGTTCATAACTGTATACTGTCTGAGCACGCGTACAAAAAATGCTAGTAACATTTAGTTATAAAAACGAGATTATATGTAAAAAAAACCTTTCGGCATTGATTGCAAGTACTCATACGTCAACATAGTACATTTTCAATACGAATAGAATGAAAAGCAAACTTTTGTTATTAACATAAGGCTTGTACGTAGACGATCCCGTATTTTTAAGTGCAATTTACATCATCCTTGCCCCTTTTCCGCTTCTCACCTATTTCATCACAACCATAAGCAACAGGTTCTGTTGATGTTCAAATTTGTTTACATCTACATGCTAAACCTATATAATATGTATAGTGCATAGATAGGCAACTGTTAGAACGTTTTCGTCCCTGCCTGTTATCATGTTGTGATGAATAGAAATGGCTAATATCGTTACTAAGAACAAGTACATGTAAAACCTACGAAAGTCAAGAGCAAATGACTTCCAGAGCATATGGTTTGAAACCTACATGAAAACCCTATAACTGTTTGCTTCAAGAGGTCTTTGTATTGATTCGAATCTAGTTAGCAAGCAGTCCTAAAAAAGGTATTCCCCGGGTAGGCGCAGCGATAAATATCGACGATTACTTGTACCATTTCGTTTCTAATTTATGCAGCTTATTGTGGTATATTTACATTGGGGGCTCTAACGTGGGTAACGCTACGCTAATTATGCAGCCGTAGTCTGCGCTGGCAATTATTGCCATTGCCAGTTTGTTGATTTTACGTCCAGATTCACGTATTCATCATTTCCTATATATTGTAGTATAATGGTGCTATAGATTAGTTTGTATTTAGATCTAGAAACTTACATGGAATAGCCATCGTCGAATCGTTTGGATCCGGGCTGTATTCCTCGGTTGGAAAGTAGTCTATGTTCATACACTTTTGAGCAGTGTCCCCCGCTGCAAAGTAAACAAGATCAAAGAAGCGGCAAAATAACAAAAATAAATAAATGTTACGCCATGTGACCTAATTTGGATAAAATACAGTTCTTCGAAATTGGACGTTCAGAAGTATCTGTGAATTCTGTTTCGTTACAAATTATATTTCGGTGACATCTGCAGGTATTTAAGCGGAGTACACCTATATTACAGAAAAATATATATTTAAGTGGTTTTCCTGTGTAACTGCGCGTGTCATTTGTGAAATCGATCTCTCAGAAATACGGATTCTTTTTTCAAGTTAACTTCATAAATTTGTGATAGTTTTATTTAATCTAAGGTCTACCTTTCATCATAGGCGCTATGCGCTCAAACAAATTAATTGGGATATTTGCTACGGTAGAGTTCTGAAAGCAGAATAATGTTGCCTATAACATCAAGTAGCACCTAAAGCCCAACAAAAATTCGGTTCATGCGAGAAGAGGACAGTGTACCAAAATGATATTCGGCAGTGTTATACAGGCAGCAAGCTACGATATGCAAGAAAAGCGGGAAGCCTCGTGCCAAAATAGGTTTTGGAGGTACTCAATCTACAGGGTCAATCGATAACCGGCAATAGGGTTTTTGCTTCTTGCTTAGAGGTCAAATGAACCGAATTCGAGGCGTCGCAGGGTAGGGACCACTAGGGGAAAAATCCTCTACTAACATGGTAATGGTCACTTTCTAACTATTCTGGGCAGATAGCGCTTAGGATGATGACGATGATGGAAATAATGAAAGGTGAACGACATCGAAAAAAGCGTTTGTGAACCCTGCCGGTGAGACGGGATTGTCTTTCAGCTTTGTCCTGAACATAAATGTGACAGCTTAATGATAATGTTTTCGAGGAAAATGTAATGAGTACTGATGCATGACCAGGCACTCGATTCCTCGCGTAAATAAATTCGACGGTAAACATTTACAATAGTTTAAATACAGATAACTTTAAATCATGCAGTCGGTTGGTGTTCGCATAACTTTTAGATCTGTCGATTGATGGCAACATCGGTTTGCTTTAACATATTTTACTTCGAGAGGCGACTGTGGCACTGATAACGAATATTCACTGATAGTTTCAGGGCTGATAGTGTCGCATTCCTGCTAAAACCCGGGGCTTCTTAAGGTAACTTATGCCTGTTTGCGCTGTGCCGTATAATGTTGTCTATTCTTATATTGATTGGCTTTGCGGTACACAATGTCGTCGAAAATATGGAAAATTTGGGACCGTCTAGGTAAATATTCGTAGTCGTACAACTCCATGGAAGTCGCTGTTCTGCCTAGGGTACCAAATATTATGTGTCTGGAGTGGCATTAGCTGCATAGAAGTTTCCTGTCCTCTAGTTCCTGACGATTCACTGTATTTGACGTTCAATTCATGTGCTTTTAATCTATCACGTTTGGCCCTTTATATATTAAGTCTTAAACCTAAAGCATAAATCTGTAGCTCTGATTTACAGTTTCTAAGTTAACATGGTTTGTTAAACCAGTAGTAAATGCCTCACAAAACACACGGTCAACTTAATCACTGTCAACTCTAACGATCATACCGTTTCGCACCTTTTGCTTTACTTTTGCACCGCCGCAAATCTGTGCGCTGGAAGCTACTATCGTTTCCCTGAACGGCATTCAACTGATCTGAAATAATGGCCCATCTAGCACTTAAGATCATATATATGAATATATGTATGCGTGTTGTTTATTTAGTAGACCGCCCATTTCGAAACTCGAATCCAAGAGGCACGCGAATATAAGCAATAAACTGTATCATCTTCAATCGGGACTATTTGAATAAGACCTCTGATAATCCCATAACCTCTAAGTAGGTGTACCAATTCAATAAAGCAAACAGTATTGTCTTAAGTCAGAGACCTTGAGAGGTCTGCCTAAGAATAAACCATTGAGTCATTTTCAAAGCCCTTTTGTTAGGTTAAACGTTCATACGGTTTTTTGTTATCCGATGCGTTTTGCATCGGATTACTATAAAGCATTACTGCAAAGCAGCTATGCCACAGCATAGCTTACTAAATGATTGACGTTACGCCCCGACAATGCCAGGTATTGCTGCTGCGCATAAACGCAGAGAGGACATCTAAGAGTCTATATAGGACGTCATAATCTGCCTACAGGGCCTGTGCAATCGTTAACAGGGCTTTCGATCACAACAATTTGACCATAACAATTATTTCATTCACGTATGTCATTGTATGTCTTGGATTCCTAAGTGATCTGGTCTTAGGTTTTTATCAATCGGCGTGTTACGTGTTAGACTTTGGCACTTCAATCTCGTCCACGATTGCTTGTGTCCTCTTTCTGCTTGCAGAAAGAGAAAGAAGAAAGAGAGAGAGAGAGAGAGTCAGTTCTTTCAGCCGCTAAAGCCGAACACTGTGCGTAACGTTAGCATGGACAACGGCAAACGGCCCTTCCCTGTGATACACAACACAGCCTAATTTCGAATTCGGTCTACTTCCGCGGGTGGCTAAACATGCCGGATGGGGTTTGCTATACCAGTAATTTTCTTATTAGTTAATAAGCAACTTCGTACTCCGCGTATTAAATATCGTTTATATTAAAATATCTCAAGTACGGAAATACAGCATGTGGCAGGTCAAGAAGATACTTTTTATGCGTGTAAGCGCCATTTTGTAGCGGTTAGTATCAGCTGGTATCCTATGTTTTCCTCAGATGATTATGATTTTGAAGTAGAGCTAACCGTTGGCTAGCTGAAGTTGAAGTCTGGCCAGTTTGATGGATTTTTAAAATCACCGAGTCAGGTTATAAGTCCAATTAGCCGAAATAGCCCTTCGCATTTGTGATATGCATGGACTACGATAGCCAGTCATTTTAGAGAGATCTGCAGAAACAACTGAGTTTTCTAAACTATGCCTATACAGCGATTTATATTTGTTACAATCTATTCAGCCGCTAATGATACTTCAGCGTGGAATGTCAGATCCGTTGTTCTGTCCAGGCCAAAAACGATTCTCAAAGTTTACACCAAAGCTATACATAGTCTCTATAACTTGTTGCTTCTCAAATGCCTCTATTGATCTAACTGTGCATATATAATGCTCGTGGGACGATCACTTAGGAATTATTTTATATTGACTATATATATTAGCACTGACGTTTACGCTGGCGATATCCAACAGAGTTGATCATGTATTGATTTGATAAAGGATTACATAATGATAATAACAACCGCAATGATAATTGCATAATATAGAGACAAGATCGGATTGAGAGAAATTACCGGGCAGACAGCGAAAATATGAGGAAAAGGCAGCTGAAATTACTATAGTATCATCGAACTACTATAGATGACTATAGAAACAGCCGCAAACAATGCAGCAAATCATCTGTAGTATATATACATATATGAATAGTTTTTATAGTAGAAATAACAGTAGTGAGGGTTGTATAAAACGTTTAAAGTAATATTATAATTAGTTGTAGTACAGGGCCTAAAAATATGGGATGGCCCAGGCCTCAGTGGGTGATAGTTCCAGAGTAGCAAACGAATATCTTATTCACAGTAAGATCTGGTTGTCTAAACCCTTTACCAATTCAAAAAAAGGCCTTGAATTGTTTGTGTGTACTGCCTGCGTCGTTGTGATTGGCAGTCTAGCCATACACTAGGATAAATAATTTTGCATTGACAATCGTTACCTTGACGCCATTAAATATGTCTAACGTGCACGACATGGTTATTTATTTATTTCTTTTTTTTCTTCTAGGAACGCAGAGGATTGCGTCAGTGTTGATTTATACCGGACACTTTTTTCAACCTGTGCCGTAATAGACAACAGTTCCGCAAGGTAGTTAATAAATTGGGTTTGCAAATAGGATCTCGTTAAGTTAACAAGCATCGTAGAGACTTCGGAATAATTTCGAATTACTGGTACATAACAGGATCCGAATACAATCTGTGCAAATGGTGAAAGCCAGATAGGTCTATCTCTGTTGTATTTTAACAACAGAATATTCGTCACTTCGTATGTAAGTGATTTCGGCGTGCCCGCTGCCGCTATTTCCCTGCTGACAGAAACGTACTTTACATTCCAAACCTGAAAATATCGCGATTCAAAAGTAGCTTTTTATTTAAGCATCATTTACTGGCTTGGCTATAATTGCATTCTACAAGTCTTAAAAGCGACTGACCTCAGTCGCTATATTCAATATGTTCCTGAAAGTAATGATGATCAGCTTAGCTGTCGTGTAATGCAGGTATCACGAGCTATCTATTTCTCAGAATGTTTGTTAATGAAAATTCTATATAGAACATCTATATAGGAATGATCTTATATTCCTGAAACTACAAGCGTTCGTACGTTACACATTAATAGGTAAATTTGTTCGTCAGAAAATCGAGGCGTTTACATTGCATAGAAAGATGTGATGAGGACTGTCGCATCAGGCCTCGTATGCATTCCATGGCTATATCCTATGAGGGTCATTATCCAAGAGGATTGACCGGCAGTCGTACGGCGCAGTCCATGGTCATTGCCTTATGGAGGCAGAGATAGCAATGATTTAAGACTAAGCAAAGTAACAAAAAACATACGAAAAAATCAACTGGTAGAATAAAAAGGGTAGGGCGGGGTGGTAGCTGCCCAGTAAATCGGTTTGCGAGTCGCTTGTGCTATCGAACATAGATCGCTTGATATGTATCTAAATATCCGAACACTGCCTAATTTCGAAAACAGGCTTCTGCGCAAAATTGTTACGCGTGACAAGAAATGGTATCTCCATGTCCAAATGAAATAAGGAAAGGAAGGAGTAGCCCTAGGAGTTACGCTTAAGACCCAAATTAAACAAAATGTTAATCTTAAAAGGATCACGATTTTTGTCAAGCAGGATCAGTAAAATCTTACACAGTAAGAAATGCCTAAAAAGGTCAAAACGGTCAACAAAGATCTGTATATGGCTCAGTTGCAACGAGGCTATCCAACAGAAAAAAAAAAACCGATAGGTAATGCGAAGTC